TATTTGATTAGGTATGTATAGTAAATGAAAACTACCAATAAGTTATTTTTTACTTTTTAGTGCTTTTGTTTGAAGTCGGTTTTTATTTTTTTGTTAAAAAGTTTTTATGTTTATGTATGTTCACCGATTACTCGAAGACGCCTGAACCGATTTGGATTTTTTTTTGTTTCAAAGGGTATACTTCCCAGGTGGTCCCATATAAATTTTATCGAAATCGGTCGAGCGGTTTTTTAAAAAATCAACAATAAATATATTTTTTAAATAAATTGTTTAATCGAATATGTTATTAAAAAACTTTCTTCTTACAAATTACCTGCTTATTATGTCTACACTAAAAATGGAAAAATAAAAACTTAAAAAAATAAATAAAAACCGACTTCCAGGAACTAAAATGAAAAAAATAACTAAACAGGGGTTTTCATTTAGAATAGATACCTAATCAGATATTTTCGAAGTCGGTGCTAGCCGACAACATTTTAAGATATGAATATCTAATAGCTAAATACGTATTTTACGTATCCACATTTATTAAATTTGCTTTGCATCGGCTGGCACCGACTTCGAAAATATCAGATTAGGTATCTATTTTAAATGAAAACCCCGTTCAGTTATTTTTTTCATTTTAGTGCCTGGAAGTCGGTTTTTTTGAGTTTTTATTTACATGTTTAAAGTACTAGTGATCCAGCCTCGATTCGAGGTGGCTCATAACGGTCATTTGGTATTCGAAAACCTATTTTAATTATCTATTCATATAGTACATACATATACATATGTGGCAGTAAGGTAGTTAAAATATAATTATAATATAATTTGATATATTATTATACCAGATGATTAATTTTATTAAGTTATATTTATTTATTATAATTACTAGGAATATACATGACACGAGTCCAGTCATTTATACTTCCATACTAATATTACAAAGAGGTAAAATTTGTAAGTTTGTATGCAGGGGGTAATCTCTGAAACTTCTGATCAAAATGTGTATTCAACGTTTTTGAACGTCTCACTGCTGGGCACGGGCCTCCGTAATTCTTTTTGCTACGAGAAGGCGTTCATAATCTTATCGTTTCGGATATTACTCCTTTATATGAACTTGTTATTTTATATAATTTTTTTTTTATTGTTAATCATTTTTATTTAAAAAAGAAATTAATTACGTATATTTTTATATTTACGCATGTTAAAATGAAAGAATAAAATGGTAAAATCATAGTATTTTAGCATGTTAACTCATAAACATGACTGCTACGAAAATTCTCCTAGCGATCTGTATGTACTCAATATGCTCTAAGTCCTAAACTATTGGCGATCACGTTATATTTTTTTTTGAAGAATTAAGGTATTTGAAGCTTTAATTCAAAGTTAAAATATTGAAAAAAAATATGTCGAAGTAACTCAAACATCCATTTGAAATCTTCACTTCTGGTTTACTATACGTAAAAAGAAACAAATTTGTAATTCGATAAAAAAATTAAAAACTGCATCCTTTTAACTTTTAGAAACGATATTTTTTGGATATTTTTACAAATGGATTGATACAAATAATAAGCATTCAAAAAGTACGGATTTCAAACTTCGTAAATTTTTAAAAGCATAACTCGGCAATAAAACATCATACGAAAAAAATAATGTATTTGCACATCCATGTCCACTAGAACTATAACTGACCAGAGTATGAACAATTTTCACAACCTCACTTTATTTTCGTTGTCCGCTTCACGAGAAATGCCCCATATAATTATTTATAAGAGGAATTCACATCTAAGTATCGTAGATGACATCGTCACACTGTCAGCAAAGCCCGAAGAGTTAGAGTACCTTATCTACCACAGAAAGAATGTTTGACTACGGTTCCTTGCTTAACATACAAATCTGGTATCAAAAAATCTATACGTATAATAAAATTGAAACTAAGCCGAATCTGTACATTAGATATTTTTTGGAAAATCTAATTGAAATAAACATTATTATCGATATAGAGGCCGAATCTATGGTTTTTAGAATTTTTGTCTGTCTGTCTGTCTGTCTGTCTGTCTGTCTGTCTGTCTGTTACCGCATCAAAGAAAAACTACTGGAGGGATTTTGATAAAATTTGGTATGGTGATAGCTGGTTATCTGGATCAAGATATAGGATACTTTTTACTGTGGGAAAATATCTCATTTCTGAGAAAAAATACAAAAACTGCTATGTAAGAGTATACTAATATGTAAAACCAAAGAATTTGGTTTTTCGTCATCTGAACGCGGGCGAAGCCACGGGCAATGCTAGTTACATATATACAAAAAATAAATTGAAGTCAAAGAGAAAGAAGCTACCTGTATAAATAATTAAAATATTGAATTAAAAACGTACTATAATCACAAAAAATAAATAAAGGCAGGAAATATAGCCAAAAAATTTATGTCTCTGAAATGGAAGTGCGCGCATCATGTCCAGAAAGTAAAAGACAATAGATGGACAAAGAGGCTTACAAGACCTTTCACAAGATAGAGTTCAGAGGAGTAGTTTGAAGGAAGGCTTTTAGCGCACAAGAGGGTCCTTACAACAAACAAAACATTAATGTAAACTTATAAAACATACTAACAAATAAAATAACAAAAAACAGCGTATTTGAATTTATCTTATGGAATTATTTTATAAGGAATAAAAATAAAGCTATTATTTAGTTATTATGTAAAAAAGACAACTGATAAGATTTACGGATATACTGTTTTTAATATTTTCCACGCTCATTCTCTTGCGCGATAAGAAGGCATAGATCATTTAATGTTTACTTTTTAGAATCAAAAAACACCTGCTAGGATTAAGATTAGTTAAACTCTTATTTATATAATTATATAATTTATATAAATAATTATTTATCTTCAACTGACGTTATTTTAATGAGTGATGTCCTCCTGACAGATTTCGGTCAACATGGCCAACCCTACCGACACTAACTAAACAAGGGTGTGCACAAACACAAGTGCTCTCCTATACCGTATACCCGCAAAGTCCGGCGAGACGACAACTCAACACTACCGGTGAGGGATAAGGCGCAGGGCCGAAGGTTAGATAGTTAAAATTAAGAAAAGTTGTCAAAAGCTATAAACGCTAATTCGAAAAGATAAAATAAGAACAGAATAAAAGGCTTTTAGTTGATGGCTATTGTTTAGAATATTTCGAGAATTACAATTTTACAGTACCCATGATTGACTGGATTGCAAATGCATTGCATCAAGTTTAGTTATATAAAACATTATTCAAAAATATAAATATTATATGAGGTAGTAAAAATTGAAAGTTCTAGCTTCGTAAATGCAGGCTTGGAGCTTTTCTTCTAGTTGATGATATCCGCCTGAGTGCTAATAAATTATTATTTATCTTTAAGTTCTTTACCTATCATAATATTAATTATAAACTTACTCGGCAGTTTTTGTATTTCAAATGTTTAATACGTTATAGCCCAAAATAAAAACGTTTGTAATTTGCTTTATTGTTGATTATTATTTCGATTAGTATTGAAAAAAGGGTCTGATTATTTAATAAAGAATAATTAAATTTACAAACAATTGTTTTAATCCAACAAAAATTTTAAGAAATTTTATAGTGCGCATATTAAGCAAGTATCCCTCGAAGCATTTTTAACGAGAGGCAACTACTACTTTGACTCGAAGATCTACAGCTCTATATATTAGCAACTTTATTTAAGAAAGTTATCCAAAGAAAACGGAGGCAGTTATTTTTATATGCAGAATGTATTTATAAGAGATTGTGCATTTTTATATCTTTTACTTTAAGCAATCATACATCTCTGCAACGAGCACGTGTTAAAATGAATCGAGGCTCATACTAGAAGCACAAGTAGTATTGTCATCTGTAATGGAAGGCAGTTTTATATACAATCATCAAGATTATAACAAACAGTTAGAAAGTTGGCTTAAAAATTAAGTTTTTGGAGTTTATAACTTATAAACTATTTTGTACTTCAGCATTAAATGTCTGAAGTTGCAATACAAATTTAAATTAATCGACATATTATTTCGTAGTAAAATTTGACATTCATAATCAAAGTTTATTAAAAAATATCCTAAACCCTTTTTAGAATATTTTTTGCTTGTTAAAAGCAAATTCAAAATGTTTACCTCCTATATTATATAAATACTATTGAATTGAATGTTAAAACTCTATGCAGTACCTAATTAGGAAAGCTGCTGGATACTATTTCAAATACGTTAAAATAACATTTTATTTTATACGTTGTGATGAGTGCTTTTCAATACAACTAAAGTGAAAACTTTCCATATAAGAATTCATCGTTTGCAGGTTCATAAAACATATATTATTGTAGAGACATTTTAAAGTAATACAGTAGAATATAGTAATATGTATATATAGTATGTATGTACATGTATGTAGAATATAATAATGTGTCGATTTTAATCGTACTTATAATCTATGTAATTATTTTTTTTGATGATTTTTCCATGTCATAATTCATATATTTTAAGGTTTTTTAACTCTCTGTAATGTTGTTGTAAGTTTGCCGTGGCCTTAGCCCGAGCAGCTGTGCTCATATGTTACGCTACTGTTTTTGTTGTTATTTCTTAACATTTTTTTAAATTATTATATTGAAACTTTCAGTTGATCACCATAAAACCTTATATAAGTTAAAGCTTTAAAGTGTGTAGAGACGTTATTAAATGTTCTTCTATTACAAACACATATTACGGACTGAATTTTCACCACTTTCTTTTAAATAAAGTTTGTGATTAAACTTATAATTAAGTGGCACGTCACGCATACGTACAAGATTGAGCTCTATTAGACATTTTGATAATTACCGACTTAATGTAGCATGCTCAAAACTACTACTTACGTTGTTTTTAAGAACAACTTAGAAGACAAAACACAGAAACGTAGAAATGTAGTAAAGAACATACAGGCAGGTATAATCTACACAAACATATGTATGTTTTATCAAGATAACGAGCTCGTTGAAGTCTTTTGGCTGATGCAGCAATTTGGTGCAGTTAGTAGAAAGAAGATATATACGTAATGTACTTACAGCAGAAGTAGGTGATGGGATCCAATACAGCAATAGAAGAGCAGCCGGCACGAGGCGCGTAGAGAGAAGGCGCGCACGCGCCGGGCCCGACATGGCTGCGCCGCACTACTGGCCGCGCGCCCGCTGCCGGCCGCCCGGGCGCCGCCGCCGCCGCGGGGCGGGGGCGCTCAGGCCGCCGCTCGACTGCTCCTCTTTCCTTAGTATCCCGGCACAAACAGCGCGCGCGCACGGGACACAGGCGCTGCGCGCTCCGGGCTATGGCGGTCCACGTACTTTGGTAAGCAATACCTATTTTTGATATAACTTCATTCATTTTCGTAATTACTTTTTTTTTAATTAAAATATTCGTCTATTACAAATTAATGTTTTAGTAATATTTTATAAAAATAATATACATTATACACTTTCTTTAATAATAAACCTTCTAATTTTAATAAAATAGTTTTTTAATTACATTTAATTCAATAGGTTGGTGGCTGCTTTAGTGACTCTAGCAGGAGTAAATACGGTGAGTGCATAAATATTTTGTAAATATTGTGGAATATTTTTAAGCTCAAAGTAAAAACTTTATAGGAATTTGGGATTGTAGGGACAGCGAAAGGGCACGCGAACTGACTGGTCCGTCAGCTTCTATTCTTCCTTTTGCAATTTCATCAAAAACGCGTGCATTGCCGGTAGATAATTTTTAAAACATCTGAACGCATAAAATAAATAATTTATAAAATATTTCACTTAATTATTATTATTTAAAACTTATGTGATATTTCTTTTGTTATATCTTATTATAATATAGCACATACTACATGAGACCGACAAAGTTTATCACTCGGATGTAAAACGTCGTCATTGCGCAAACTATATCTACACCACACATATAAAAACACAAACAAACCTAATCAAAAAAATATTAATTTAATTTATCAATCATAGGTTTATCATAAACCGTCTTGGAAAAAACCTATAGATGTTTTTGGACCAGCGTTCAATAATTTATTTGAAAATAATGATGAAACGTTGTTTTAGTAGGTGAACTATTTATTAGTAATAAAATACTTCTGTTATAACTGCTTCTTATTTATATGCCTTAGTGATTTTTTTATATAGCATTCACTTATTAAAATATTTAATATATCAAATTTTCACTTAATTATTTAATTCATACTAACATTGCCCGTGACTCCAACCGCGTTCAGATTACCAAAAAAAAATCCTAAGTTTTACATATTAATATACTCTTACATTGCAGTTTTTGTATTTTTTCTCAGAAATGAGACATTTTCCCGCGGTAAAAAGTATACTATATGTTGACCCGGATAACCAGCTATCACCATACCAAATTTCATCAAAATCTCTCCAGTGGTTTTTCTGTGATGCGATAACAGACATACAGATATAAATTCTAAAAACTATAGATTCGACCTGTGTATCGATAATAATTCAATAAGATTTAATTCAATAAGATTTTCCAAAAAATATTTAATGTACAGATTCGGCTTAGTTACAATTTTATTATATGTACGGATTTACTAAAGATACAATATTTTTATAAACACTCAGGAGTTTTCACTAAAGTTTATCATCTATAGAAATAACATTTTCTTAATGATAAACGATCTCTAACTTAATACTTACGATACTAACTTAGCCTACATAAAAAAAACTTAGCGTACTGCAATGTGTTATTAGTTTCAATCGACTTTTAAATTTAATAATAGCTACTTATAAAATAACTTAAGAAACCAATGCTAAATTAGATGAACATATATAACGCTTAAATGAATTTAACGCTTTATTTAAAATGGAACATCATATGAACATCATCGTATCATTTTACGAGCAAAATGCATTCACAGCGAAATATCACATATCAGCCATAAATACATATGGTAATCGCAATGAAATTAAATTAAATCAAACCACAAAGGTGTACGTGAAGCATCTTTATATGAATTATGTAATAAAATTTGTAATAAGTAATATTATAATCCCTTAAGAACAATAATTCACTTGTGATGTGATGTGATATGCCTTTTAGGAAGCTTTACTTGCTTTAGCTTATTTAGAACTATACTTGACGAAGTAGTTCTTAAGAATAGTGTTTTTGTTTATAATGAAATACCATTTAACTTTATCATTTACGCATGCAGTAAAGTTAGTTTGGTATTATATAACCTTAGTGGTTGTGAGTACATAGGACGCATGCATAATGTAAAATATTTTTGTTCATTTTTGCCGAACGTATTATCACTGATCATTAATGTCAAAAAAAATGTAATAATTTAATACTGTTTTTTTAATTGAATTAAATTAATATTATTGCAAAAATATAGTAATAAAGGCTATTAAATTTATTTTTCTGCATAACTTATTTTCGACTTTGTGATTTTAAGAAAAAACTAATTATTAAGCATCTTACTTCATAGTCATTAAACCACATCTTTTCTTCACATTGATTTCTTTTATATTAAATACTAGCGACTCGCCCTCGCTTCCCTCGGGTTCGTCCTAGCTTGCGTTCCAATACAAACTTTCATCCCCATTTTCACCCCCTTAAGGGATGATCTCCGGAATAAAAGTATGTACCTATGTCCTTCCTAGGGTCTCCTATCTTCTTACCAAATTTCATCTAAACGGTTCAGTAGATCCAGAGATTAACCCCCACAACGTCACAAACTCACAAACTTAGAAACTCACAAACTTTACCTCTTTATAATATTAGAATATAAAAAAATACACTCTATTACAGATATATATTAGTCATTTAATAGTTAAAAATAATGACTTTGCATTCATAAAACCTTCTTATATATACGTGAATATTTGACAAAATAATTGATTTTTATTTAACACTAGCGATTCACCCTCGCTTCGCTCGGGTTCGTATACCCTAGGTATGTATACAACTTCCCTATTTGAATCGGATATTATTAAATTTTTCATTGGTTTTTTTTTTCGTGGGGACCCTATTTTTTTTCTGAAATAAAAGCCAGTGAAAGTCCCGTCAAAATCGGTTTAGCCATTTCAGAGATTAGCCGGAACAAACAGACAGACAGACAAAAATTGTAAAAAATGTTGTTTTGGTATATATATCGTGTATACATCCATATGCATTTAGTAAAAAGCTGTTATTTTGACATTTCAAACAGACACTTCAATTTAATTTATCTGTATAGATTTGATTTTGAGTAATGTTACCATCGTATAAATATTGACATTAATATTTATACGATACTAACGTCAATTGTTTTGCCTTCCCGGAACCTCTCCACTGACACTTAAACTTTATGGTATGGTATTAAAGTTCAAATTGACTTTTAAGTATTATTACGAATCTTTTGTATGGGAGTATAGAAAAGTGTTGTTTTTAGACTTTTTCAGGCAAATTTTTAATTTTTTCTCTCCGTAAGAACCATTTTCGTACTTCAAGGAATATTCTAAAAAAAGAATTAACGAAATCGGTTCAGCTGCTCTCGAGATTTGCGCTTAGCAACACATTCAGCGATTCATTTTCATATTATAGACCAGCGACTTACCCTCGTTATATACAATAGTTGTTAGGCAGCGTTAGCTATGTAAATTTTAATTTTCTTTTCGTGAATTTTTCCGATGTTTTAATATATTATATAAAAATCGGTCCAGCCGTTCTTGAATTATGTATGGTATAACTTACCCGACTATGTTTTTATATGTATATATATGTCGGGTGCTGTACGGATGAATGATTTAGAACATTTGGAGATATGTGTAGGTAGTATAAAGAAAAAGTCTTTTTTTGAACTGGGTAACTCAGCGGGCGTACGCAGAAGAACTCGCAAAATTTTCATAATAAGATGAATGATTTAAGAACGCATACAGTGTTTTGTAAAACATACAAAAAAACATTTACATAATTACGTAAGATAGATAAGATAAATATGAAGCTTAACGATTTTAAGATGATGATCTTAACAAACCTGTCCCCTTGATGCTCTTATTTAATACTAGCAGAACCCGCGGCTTCGCTCGCGTCAAAGCTACAAAAAATCTCTAAAAATGTCCTTTCATACAAAATTTTATCCCCCTTTTACCCCCTAATAGGATGAATTTCAAAAAATGCTAAAACAGGTATTTATTTCATTTTATTAAAAAACATTAATACCAGGTTTCAAGTAATTATGATCATAAATATTTTTTGGATTGTATTATAACGTGTTTTCCCGTGGGAATTAGATAATTTCCCGTAATAAAAAGTATGCCTATGTCACTCTCCATCCCTCCAACTATCTCCACACAAAAAATCACGCCAATCCGTCACTCCGTTTCAACGTGAAAGAAGGACAAACAAACAAACACACTTTCACAAATTTTAATATGTATTAGTATGGATAATACTATTCCTGATTAAAATATTTGTTATAGCCCTGTTGTTTACACCTTATCTTGAAACAGTTCAAGAAGATGGAGGCAAATTAACTTATGGCTTAATTGATTAGAATAACCCAGTAGGCACAAGTTCGAATCTTGCTATATCGTGAAATATCAAATATTAACAGTTAAATTATGAAATAAAAACAAACTAAGCATGAGAAACACTTCAAAATAAAATGGTTCTGAGTTCTGTCCAGGGAGTTTGCATAGTTAGTAAAAAAATAGCATACAAGTAGAAAAATATTATATTAAAAAAGTTGTTGTTGTATGAATATTTGAAACTAATCACTGCACGATTTTATCGTAAACTTGGATAAGCACCCATACTATTAATATTAAAACGTGAAAGTGTATTTGAATGTAAAAGTGTGTTTGTTGGTTTATTTGTTGGTTCGTTCGGTTGTTTGTTTGTTTGTCCTTCTTTCACGAGTAAACAGAGTGACGGATTGGCGTGATTTTTTGTGTGGAGATAGTTGGAGGGCTTGGGAGTGACATAGGTTATTTTCATCGCGGGAAGTTATCTCATTCCCACGGAAAAAAAGCACATACACAAACAACCCACACCAACTCATCATACCTATATATCTATCCATTCCATTTGTTCAGCCCTTTTTAACGTCTCACTGCTGGGCACGGGCCTTCCTTCAGTAAAAGGTGTATCAGGCTATAGTCCACCACCATTTACAAGTGCGAATTGGCGGACTTCACATGTCTTTTGAAAACTTGCTAAGTTTTCTCAGACATGCAGGTTTACTCACGATATTTTCCTTCACCGTTAAGACAAGTGGCAATCATGTTGGAAATGATTCGCACATGAAAATATCAGAGGTGCGAGACCCGGGAGTTGAACCCGCTTCACTCAGTTTCTCAAGCGAACGCGTTACCACTTTTTTTTTATGTCGGGAAATGCATTTACGCATACCACCTGATCCCCCAGGTGGTGATGTGGGGCTCATCGACTAGAAAAGCCGGTACTACCCACTAAAACCGGACATTCCCCTCCCCTCCGCCTTAATGGGACGCCGCAGGATCGCTTGCGCATAACTACTACGGCGCCCCGGCGGCAGGTCTGCCAACGGCTGACCACCACACCAATGGGGCTGCTCCACAGTCAACTCTGCTACACCAGAGAGGTACCCGGAGCAGCCCCATTAAACCGAACCTCCGCCCACCGAAGTGGGCCACCTCCAATCGGCTGCAGAGGACAGGGAGAGCGGCAACGAAACACCGACACTTCTCTTCCCCTGCAGCCCCACCGCGTCCGCCATCAAACGGTGGCGGCCCCGTCTAGGCCGCGGAAGGTAGGGAGAACGGCGCACCGAAATACCGGCACTCCTCTCCCGCCGCGGCCTACCCCTCTGCCGAATGCAGGCCTGCAACCACAGTCCCGCAACCGGCACCCATCATCCGGTTGTGGGACCAAGCGGTCCCACCACCGGTGGCCGCAACGTCTTCGGCTCGAGGCCCATCCAAGCCATTTGGTCCGCGCCGGATTTCTCCGGTACTACCCGCCGCCCTAAGCGGATGGCATTACCCTATCCGCCACCTGGGGACGCGCCCGGTAGGAGTTGGCTTCTCCCCCGGGAACGCGTTACCACTGGGCTATCACTGCCTAATCTAATCTATTCCATACTAACAGCTAAAACGTAGGGATTAACCCAAACGGAGCTTGGTTGAGTCGCTAGTATGTAAATAAATTTAAATATGCTAGTTTTATACTGAATAGCTAACAAAATAAACTTTTGCTTTCTGACACTTAATTTTTATTTTATTTACAGCAACAGGATAGCTACGAAAGAGGAGATGTAGAAGAGAATAACATTTACGAAAACCAATGGCCATCACCGACAAATTGGGCTCCCCAGAGAGAATATCAACCTCCTCCTCCTCCCCCTCCTCCCGTGTATAATGTAAATACGTATGGCTTATCGAGGCGGCCAGATTTAACAACAGGTCCGTCATCATCACCACCACAACGTCAAGCTCAAAACTATGGACAAAATTTTGCTATCTACGATCCTGTAACACGCCAACGTACAACTGCTTTCGATCGAAACTGCACCGCACCTGGTTGCTGTATACCTAAATGTTTTGCTCAAAAGGGTAGCAGGGTAAGATAGCTGTTAAAATGGCCCTCTTTTATTTAAATCATTCTTATCGATCAATAAACAGAATATTTTTTCTTTACATTATTTATTTACTTTACTTATAACAATTATTATATATACAATGAACGTAATATTTTTATCCTTTCAATTCATAAATTATCTTTTCAACTGCACTTTACATATACCTGCAATTATTTTAGGGTTTTCCTGGTATGCCTGGTAAACCAGGCATGAGAGGTTTGCCTGGGCATGAAGGTGCAGAAGGTCCACAAGGACCCAAAGGTCAAAAAGGGCAGGTAGGACCTCAAGGTCCACGTGGACCAAAGGGAGATAGAGGAAAACCGGGTGCACAAGGATTTACTGGTCTATCTGGTCCTCCGGGACCTCAAGGTGAACAAGGTATGCCAGGAATACCAGGACGAGATGGGTGTAATGGAACAGATGTAAGTGCCTAATTCATATTATGTATACATATAAACTATGAAGATTAAATATCATATAATTTCTATCTGTTTTTTTTACACATTCTTATTTTTAAGGGTGAACCTGGTCTAATAGGACCCAAAGGCTCTCAAGGGCCTCGAGGTTTTCCTGGTTCTAAAGGTGATAAAGGTGACAAAGGAGAAGCAGCACATATGGGACGGTATCCAAAAGGACAAAAAGGTGAACCTGGAGCAGATGGCATGCAGGGCCCCCCAGGTCCAGTAGGTTTAACTGGACCTTCAGGCCTATCAGGTCCAAGAGGAAAAACGGGACCTATGGTGAGAAATGATTCTCAATTTATATTATATAAAAAAAGTTTTTCTTAAATATTTTTTAATGAAAAACCTAACTTTTTTCGCTTTATACGTATGTACATAGTCTGGCCATAAGTACTGTTACAATTAAAAATATACAAAATATTACATTTTTCAAATTCAAATTTGTCGTTTTTATATGATTGATCGTTGTGTTTTCTCATTCTCGCGCCAATATATTGTAAAATATTTTGTGGTATTAAAATGGAGTGAGGTGATAAAGAGAATCAAATCGCTGTGATTGCATTACACGTAGTGGGTATGGAGCCAAATACAATTTTTAATACTCTCCACACGCTTGGTATTAGTCAAATGTTTGTGTACCGGGCTATTGATAGGTACAATGAAACCTCCTCTGCTTGTGACAGAAAATGATCTAGCCGTCCACGTAGCGTTCGTACGAAAAAGGCGATCAAAGCAATAAGGGAACGAATTCGAAGAAATCCTGTCCGAAAGCAGAAGTTTTTATCTCTGGAGATGAAGAAATCATCTAGAACCATGTCGCGTATTTTAAAACTGTGATGATGACTTAGGACTTGCAGCCTATAAGAGACGTACCGGTCATTCCTGAACTAATAATTTAAAAAACAATAGGGTGATATTTTCTTAGATTTACGCGAATATTTGATATTTTAAATAAAACTATCTTTTCGGATTATTTCTCGGATTTATTTTGATTTTTGGTTCCCGACGTTTTGAATGCTTTACAGCAATCATGGTCACGGGAGAGACTAAGGTTATTGACGTCTCAAACATATACTTGTTACAGACAGTGCCTACCCACTATTTTACAAAAATGATTTCAAAGATTCACAATAGGGTGGTAAAATCAAAACAACTACTTAAGCAGTACGCAAAGGGAGGTCACAGAAAAAATTGTTTACGGATGAGATTTTTTTTACAATTAGCAATATTTTAACAAACAAAATGACCATATTTATGCTCAAAGCTCTAAGGAAGCTTCGCAATAGTTAACAGAGTACAACGTTGGCATTATCTGACTTCAGTGATGGTTTGGTGGGGTGTTAACTATGAAGGAGTGACTGAGCCATATTTTTGTGAAAAAGGTATCAAAACATCGGCAAAAGTGTATCAAGATACCATTCTTGAGAAAGTAGTTAAGCTCCTTAACAACACCATGTTCAATAACCAAAAACGGTTTCAGCAAGGCTTTCAGACCCTTGACCCTTTCAGCAATACTCGGCGCCGGGTCATAAAGCTCGATCCATCTAAGTTAGAAACCCACGTTCCGGACTTCATCAGAGTTGAAGACTGGCCGTCATCTAGTGCCGATATTAATCCGTTGATTAGAGAGTATGGCTTGCTCTAAATGCCATGATAATTTAAATGATTGGCAGTGAAGAATTTTCCCATGGAAAGAGTGTGTGTTTCTATTGATAACTGGCCTCAACGTTTAAAGGACTGTATTGCAGCCAATGGAGACCACTTCGAAAAAGCTTTATATATTTTTAATTGTTTTATATTAATGTAACACACTGTAATAGTAATAAATGTTACGGGCAATAGAAAAAATGTTTTTTTATTTGTAACAATATTTAGGGCAAGAATAACGTACATACGTCAATAAAAAAGGTTTTTTTGTATTCATTAATCCCGATAAAAGGTAGTAAAATTGAATTCTTTCTAAAAATTTAAACCCTTTAAGCCGTTACAATATAAAGAAGTAAAAAATCCTCTCTCAGCAGTATGATGTTCTCCTGGCCGATTCCGGCCACGGCGGCCAATCTCATTGAGACTAGCCAACTGCGCAGGAGATATTATAGTGCACAAGTGTACGCGCAAACACAAGTGCACTCTCTATTCCTATCATTCTCATACTCTGCTGGGACGACCACTCGACACGACCAGTGAGAGTTAAGGCGCAGGACCGATGGCTTTACGTGCTTTCCAAGGCACGGGGGTGAAACACCGTCAACTCCCCATCTTCGGGCTATTACTGAGGCTTACTATACAAAAAGACTCAATAACTAAACTTGGCCCGACCCGGGACTCGAACCCAGGACCTCCGAGTGTGCAGCCGTACATGCTAGTCACTACACCACCGAGGCAGTTAAATCTCAGCAGTATAATGTCCTATTGTAATGTGTGACTTTAAAATATTCGGAGTAAAAGATTACCGTATAAAAATGTTGAAAATTATTTAAAATGAACTACAGAATTATTTCATTTTAAATAAGCGAGAGTTGTATTCAAAAAACGTGAGACCTTAGGCTATCATATTGCTAATATTTTTTATTCCTATGGATTTTTTCTAAACAATATTTTAGTCTACATGTGCGTTGCAATTTTACAAAAGAATTAAAATTTCAGCAGTTAGCAGTTAGCCACAAACATGCTATCCCCCATAAGTGTGTACGCACATAAGACAATCTATTTCCTTAATCGCATATTCGTATAGGACGGCTATTTCAAGCAACTGCATGAGGAGAAAGAGTAGAATTGACGAAATCTCCGTTAATCTGTCAGTTTACACCAACAAGTTCAATTATATTTATGGTTGTATTGTAATTTATTATATTTAATACATTTTGCATATTTTTTTTAAATATAATTATTTTAAGGGTTTGCCTGGATCAAAAGGTGATAAGGGATCCAAAGGTTCAAAAGGACAATCAATTCAAGGAGATAAAGGAGATAGAGGCGATAGAGGTGATAGAGGACCAAGTTGTCCGCCAGTAACATTACCATCCTTAGATAATAAGGGAGCCATAAAAGGAGTTCAAGGAGACATGGGTCCTAAAGGGCAGAAGGGAGAAGCGGGAAGAATGGGAGAAAAGGGGGATACTGGACCTATGGGTGAACAAGGATTATCTGGCCAAATGGGTATTAAAGGAGAAAAAGGCATACGAGGCAATCCTGGAGAAAGGGTACGGATTTTTAATATAATATGTAGATAATCAATCATACAACTATATGTAGATAACATAGATCTTTTTGACTTCTCGGTTGTTTGTTTGTACTTCTTTGCACCTTTGCTTATTTACATCTTCCAAGAGTTTTTAAAATCACCGTCTATAATGATTGTCTATCATACTCGTAATTAAAATTTCTTATTCCTTTTTATTTATATTTTAATACAGTGTGTATATACATGTTATGCACTTTTTTCTATATTCATACAATGCATGTTTTACCCTTCCTAATCCTCCTTATTATCTGGAAAATATCGGTACTAAGCTTACCACACCACACCACACACACGACCACATTATATAAAATTTGCGCCCATTAATTCAAAAACACTAACTACTACTTAATTCTCAGAGAATACATCGTACTACTAAATGTGTAATTTTTTACATATTAAGTTACTAAACTACATATAAAGTATATTGTATTTGACGGTTTTAGGTTGGAAATAGAGATTATGATTATTATTATACACATGTAGTTGACGACACGTTTGGCTCAGTTTGTAGTGATCCTACTTGCTGTGCCAGCGGTCGCGGGTTCGAGTCCCGTTGGGGGCATTCATTTGTGTGATGAGCACGAATGTTTGCACTCCAGTCATGGGTGTTTATATTTATAGTATGTATGTATTTAAAGTTATATATGTGTAGTATATCAACTATCTGGTATCCATAACACAAGCCTCGTAGCTTACCATGGAACTAGATGGCGCTGTGTGTTAATGTCCCAACATATTTACATTTATTTATTTACATAGATTATGATATTCGAACTTTAATTGGCGTATGTCCAATGTTGTGTTGATATATACAGATGATTGGTTTTTAGTGGAATTATTAAGGTGATAAGAATGGCAACCTAGCAATTAGCATATCCAAAAAATCTCAAAAATATGTACTTAAATGAAAAAATCTGTATTTATCAACTTACCTTTCATAGTTGTATTTCTAAAATAACCAAAGTACGAATAAGAACATTAAAAAATAAAATTACTGTATTCATGTAAAACCTTTTATCGTCATTTAGGGTCGAGATGGAATGTATGGCGCTCCTGGCCCAAGAGGTTCTAAAGGTGATAGAGGTAACGATGGTTTATCCGGTTTACATGGTAGACCAGGCGCTAAAGGTGAACCTGGCAAAGATGGTTTAGCTGGCCCAAGAGGATTAAAAGGAGTTCCTGGACCCCCTGGTGGACGTACAGGATCACGTGGACCTCCTGGACCACCAGGACCAAGAGGTTACACTGGACCAGTTGGTCCACCTGGTTCTGATGGAAGGCCTGGAGATATGGGACAGCCAGGTCCTATGGGTCTTCGAGGAGGTCCCGGAGAGCCGGGTAATCCTGGTATTGAAGGTTTACCTGGCCAAAAGGGAGAAAAAGGAGAAGCTGGTCTTAACGGTCTACAAGGAGATATAGGTCCAAGAGGTTATGATGGGCCACCTGGACCCACAGGTCCAAGAGGACCAAAAGGCGAAGATGGTCTTTCAATTCCCGTAAGTCACAAATAATTGTATAATATAATATATTGTGAATTACAATTCTATTGTGAAATATAATAATATATGCTTCGATATTACTATAGTTGTGACAGTAGTAAAATTTAATATTTTATTAGGGTCAAATGGGTAGTAATGGTCAACCTGGATACCCTGGTGATAAAGGCCAAAAAGGAGAAAAAGGATATCCTGGTTTACGAGGTGTACCTGGAAATTCTACTTTAGGCACGCCTGGAAGCCCAGGAGAAATGGGTTCTCCTGGGGAAAAAGGTGAAAAAGGCAGCCCTGGGTTTAATGGACTTCCTGGTATTCCTGGCGAAAAAGGAGATATAGGAGGTCGTTGTAATGAGTGTTGGCCGGGAGGACCAGGTCAAAAAGGTGATAGAGGTTCGGATGGTTTAACAGGAGAACGTGGTGAGAGAGGCTCTCCCGGTGCAGTGGGCCTACCAGGTGAACGAGGATCTGACGGCATTAATGGATCACCTGGATCAGCTGGTGCACCAGTACGTATAAAAGATTGAATTATTTAAAGATTTTACTTTAATAATATTTTGTACTAATGATTATGAATATACTTTAGGGTGGTCCTTATTCCTAACAAAAAATTAAAATTCTTTAAATTCACGGGGCACCACATAATTTGATTATATACCACAAGAAACTATTTCAGTATTTTTAAATTTATAATGACATTTAAAGGTTGCTATTAAGATATGATTTTTTTATTAAAAACTGAAAGTCTCTATGATGACGTTGACCAGCAGGTCTCCTAAATGAATCGCCTTTTTCAGTAACTTCTCCTAAGAAAATTATCGTGAGATTCAAGAGCTCTCGTACTCATCTCGAGGTTGATGTACTTGTTTGTTGATGTCGCTGTTATTCACTTTAGCAAGGATGTTTGCCTCGGCGTCACCTGTAATTGTAGTCACTTCGGCTGTTTTGTAATCACTTTGGTCAATTATGTTTCAATTGCTTTAATACATATAACGGTTTATCGTTTTAATAATTGTATATCAGGACCACTGGACAAGTAAGCCAAAGCATATCTATCTCACGCAGGAGAGGGGTCGAGGAGAGAGGAGGCAGGGGAGGTTACCTATGCGAGTCTCTCCATGTTTTACTTGCAGTTCAATGCTAAATAAACACTTAGTGAATAATTAGTGAGACTCCTACTCAAGCAGTTATACAATGCTTTTTGTAAAGTTTGACAACTGGTAGCGACCTCTAAATCGTATCTAAAAATGAAAAGAAAAAATGTTTTATTTTTAGATGTATAAAATCGAATGACAAAGTGCCGCGATGATGATTACAAAGGCAAAAAATAAGGACTACCCTAATATACTTATTATATTTTATTGTACAATTTTACAAAATCTTCGGGTTATAGGAGCAATTATATAATAATCTTTAAAATTTTCAATATAATTTACACACACAAAACTGTTAATTATTTTTTGGTCCAAACTAGTTTGAAGTATTCTGAAACTATCAATAAAATAAAAATCAACCCCAAACGATAACAAAAAAGGGGGGAAAAATATGGATAAAATAAAATCCAATCATTTTGATAATTAATAGCCTGGATTTTAGAATCTTTCCAAAATACATTAGTTTTTAAATTTTAATGCTTTAAAATAAAATGTCAAGTAAAGCCGTTTTAACTTACATTTCATAGCAATGGTACTGTTATAGTAGTTTGAGAGAACTTTAAGCTTCGACCTACTCAAAGCTTATTAAAATTATTTAGTTATTATAATTGTAGTGTAATGAAAAAAATATATTAATTTATACTTAACGTTAAAGGGAGAAAGAGGAGATGAAGGACCCATGGGATCACCTGGAGAAAGGGGTGCAGATGCAATTATACCTTCAAATTTAATTAAAGGACCTAAAGGTGATAAAGGTGCTCCGGGTGAAAAAGGAGCTATGGGTATTAAAGGAGAAAGAGGTCTTGATGGACCACCAGGAGATCGTGGACTCAGTGGAATGCCTGGTCAGAAAGGAGATCAAGGTAGGATGGGACCTCCTGGTATTGATGGCATACCAGGTACTGATGGTTCACCAGGGCTACCAGGATTGAAAGGAGAATCTATAAAAGGTGAAAAGGGCACATCGGGTGACCAGGGATTTAAAGGTGATAAAGGTTTTTCCGGACTGTCAGGACCAAAAGGTGAACCAGGTCAATGCCCTCAAGATCTTAAAGTTTTAACAAAAGGTGAAAAGGGTTCGCCAGGATTTCCTGGTCTTCCAGGACCTCAAGGTATTTATTTAAATTATATAATTCTATTAATATTTTTAAATTTTGTTAAATGGATTAGAACTTATCCTTTAAAATTAATTAATGCATCTCCGTTGTTCACATAATGAACAATTATGAATCCATGTGATTCTTAAGTACTTTAAAAAACTTCAGAAATATAGTAATATATAAGTTTGCAATGAACTTACGCATCACAAATATTCGTAGTTTTAAAGTATGTAGCCCAACGCTCTTCCTCTTAATTTGAATTTAGTCAAACTTATAGAAGTGTTTGCCTGAAACATGTGAGAGGATTATTTTCGCCTCTATCAAAATATATAATTACTCTATTGTGTTAGTAATAACATTTTTATGAAATTTACTAGGTATGCCTGGTGAAAAGGGCGATCGAGGACCGTTTGGCATAACAGGACCAAAGGGAGAAAAAGGATTATCTGGACGTGCAGGGCCAGTTGGTCCACGAGGTCTTCCTGGTCTCAAAGGAGATAAAGGTGATATTGGTTCAATGGGTTTCCCTGGAACGACCGGCGAAACTGGGCCAAGAGGTTTTCCTGGAATTCCTGGTTACAAAGGAGATAAAGGAGAAATTGGACCATCGATGCCAGGACCACAAGGAATGCCGGGGTTAAAAGGAGATAAGGGAGACCAAGGACCTGTAGGTATGCCTGGAAATCCCGGTAATGATGGGCCTCCAGGTCCCGTAGGCTTACCAGGTGAAAAGGGAGAATTAGGTTTTGTAGGGAGGCCAGGATTTCCAGGAGCACCGGGTCAAAAAGGAGAACCTGGGCCTATAGGACCAACAGGAGTACAAGGAACCCCAGGAATACCTGGACGAGATGGACAAAAGGGTCAGCAAGGTTATCCAGGGCTGCCAGGTAAACCAGGTGTTATTGGCCTGCCGGGCCAAAAGGGTGAGCCTGGAATGCAAGGACCTGATGGCCCTAAAGGTTTCCCAGGACCACGTGGACATCCAGGATTACGAGGCTTAACAGGTCTTGATGGTAGCCCTGGTGAAAAAGGTGACAAAGGTGAATTAGGTTATCCAGGGATGCCGGGAGAGCCCGGTTTTGATGGCCCTGCAGGACCACCAGGAATTGCGGGTATTAAAGGTGATCAAGGTTTCCCGGGACAACCTGGTCAGCCTGGAATAATGGGTAGTAAGGGAGCAAAGGGTATCATGGGCTTACCAGGTCCTAGAGGTCCTAAAGGAGAACCTGGGCTTGCATCTGAAAAAGGTGATAAAGGAATGTCTGGTATTCCTGGTTTAAATGGAAAAGATGGCATTCCAGGACCGATGGGTGAAAAAGGAGATAAAGGTGATATTGGTTTACCTGGCTTTGGCCGTCCAGGATTACCTGGTGAGAAAGGTGATATGGGACTTCCTGGTTTCCAAGGTATTACAGGTGAAATGGGTGAAAAGGGCGATCGTGGTTTACCAGGTCTCTCGGGTATGAAGGGTGATAGAGGTTTAAATGGAGACGTTGGTTTACCGGGACTTCCTGGTATGGATGGTGCTCCAGGATTGCAAGGTGAGAGAGGATTACCTGGATTCGATGGGGCAAAAGGTGACAAAGGTGACCGAGGTTTTCCTGGACGTGACGGATTTGATGGAATTAAAGGAGAACGTGGTCCAGCAGGTCTGGAAGGTATAAAAGGAGATAGAGGATTTGATGGATCTAAGGGAGACAGAGGCTTACCAGGTCCTTCTATTAATATAAAGGGAGATAAAGGTGAAATTGGACCACCAGGAATTTCCGGACTTAAAGGTCAAAAAGGAGAAAGAGGTAGAGATGGTTTCCAAGGCTTAATTGGAGAAAAAGGTGACCGTGGTTTTACAGGCGAAAAGGGAGAGATAGGAAGAATTGGAATAACTGGCGAAAAAGGTTAATGTTCTTTCATATATTTTGATATTATACCTATTTAAAAGTACGCTATATTGTATATATATATCGCTTACAGTTACTGTAATTTATCTTAATGTTTTCTTCCTTTAAATTTTCTTATAATTTATTATTACACAAAATTAAGGCTAACTTTATAAATATAAGTTTGATAAATTTATTATAACAGAAATATAGTACTGTAATAGAGTTATTGTTACCGTATAGTTATTATAAGTATATAAACTGGAAACTCTTTTTTTAGGTGATAGAGGTCCAGCAGGTCCGGGAGGTATACCTGGTCTTACAATAGTAGGAGAAAAAGGTTTACCTGGATTACCAGGAAAGCATGGTAGACCAGGTTTACCAGGTGCTCCTGGAGAAAAAGGAATACAAGGTTTTCCTGGTCTTCCAGGACAAATAGGGACTTCTGGAATACCTGGACCACCTGGCCCAAGAGGCGAGAAAGGAGACCAAGGACGTGAAGGTATAGCGGGCCCACCTGGTTTTGATGGAGTTCCCGGATTGCCTGGACCTCAAGGGATACCTGGAGAAAGAGGTCTGAAAGGAGATAAAGGGGCGACTGGTTTTGGTGCGCCAGGATTGAAAGGTCAACAAGGATTGCCAGGAATACCTGGGTTACCTGGAGAAAAAGGTGATAAAGGAGAACGTGGCCAAGATGGAGCAATTGGAGAACAAGGTGAAAGAGGTTATACTGGTGATAAAGGTGACAGAGGATTCCCAGGTAGGATAGGTCAAACAGGAATGACAGGTGAAAAGGGTGATAAAGGAGAAGCTGCAGCAATAGTTTACGGTGCAAAGGGAGAACCAGGACCTCGAGGTCCTCCGGGTATGGATGGACTTCCAGGTCTTAAAGGTGATATGGGAGCCAGGGGCTTAGATGGTAGTCCAGGTTTGAAAGGAGATAGAGGTTTTCCTGGACCTAGAGGTCCACCAGGCCCTCAAGGTCTTCAAGGCTTGCAAGGCTTACAAGGAGATCGCGGTGAAACAGGACGAGCAGGATTACAAGGCGTGCCGGGATCGCCTGGAGCCCCCTGTGTAAACACTGATTATTTAACAGGAATTCTTTTAGTTCGCCACAGTCAAACAGAAATTATACCACAGTGTGAACCAGGTCATGTAAAACTCTGGGATGGCTATTCATTGCTATATATTGATGGAAATGAAAAAGCACACAACCAAGATCTAGGTTATGCTGGGTCATGCGTTCGAAAATTCAGTACTATGCCCTTCCTATTTTGTGATCTTAATGACGTTTGTAATTATGCTAGTAGGAACGATCGAAGTTATTGGCTATCTACAAACCAACCGATACCTATGATGCCAGTCGAAAATAATGAAATAGCTCGATATATTTCAAGATGCGTGGTTTGTGAAGTACCAGCAAACGTTATAGCCGTCCATAGCCAAACTCTAGACATACCAAACTGCCCAGCAGGCTGGAATTCCTTATGGATTGGATACAGTTTTGTTATGGTATGTAAATGGATATACCTACCTTATGCTAATATGTATATATTTTAATTTTTATAATTTTCACTCTAAGTTCTCATGGCCAATTTTAATTACGGGCCATTTCTTTGAGAATATAGTTAATTGCATAGGAAATATTATAGTGCACAAGTGTGTGCGCAAACACAAGTACATTCTCTGTGTCTTTCACCTTCAAAGTCTGATGAAACAACGATTCGATACGATCAGTGCAACATTAGGCGCAGTACTGATGTCTTAACCGGCTCCACAAGGCACGTATACTATATACTCAATAGAAACCCGCGCACACTTTATGAGATTTGTACGATAGACAAAGATATATGTACGTGTACAAGTACAGTTTAAAATATTTCAATACACTGACACCTTCTCAATATATTTCAAAGATACTTTTCAAGCTTTTGTTTTATATGTAATATTTGTCAAATTTTTAGTGCCAATAAACCCGCTTAGAATACCTATTGTTTTATGAGAACTAGTATTTACTTTGTATTTTTTTTTATTCTTTCAATAGCACACTGGTGCCGGTGGTCAAGGTGGTGGACAAGCTTTGGCCAGCCCTGGTTCATGTCTAGAAGATTTCCGCGCAACACCATTTATTGAATGTAACGGCGAGGGTGGTACATGTCATCATTTTGTTAACAAACTTAGTTTTTGGCTTACGACAATTGATGACAATAAACAATTCTCTATGCCAGAACGAGAAACTCTTAAATCGGGACGACTATTGCAAAGAGTATCCCGATGTGCAGTTTGCATTAAAAATACTACATAGTAACTTGCTGCATTGATACAATAGTAGATATGATTAAATACGTTTAATAAAAATAAAATTAGCTAGTAAAACAAGAAACCAAAACAATTTTATTAATAAGAAGATCTAAATATCCATCATATTTGTATTAAATATTGAAATAAAAATACAGAATTGCCATATTTCATAATAAATGTACACCAAAGCAATGTAACCTTAAGAGTTAAGATTATGTATAGTTTATTTAATTTCATATATAACTTACATTTATTTTAAGTTTTTTTTTATCTGATGCTTAAAATACAAGACTATTACTATTAATTATTGCTTAGCAATTTCAATCTGTATTACAATATGGATTAGTACCTATGTATTGTTACTAGTCACAAAAAATCTTATTTCGATTTATCAACATCCTTATCAAAAAATATATTCCGTACCAGTGAATTTATAAAATGTATATACTAATTGTCTAGCATAATATAACTGATTAAATATTTTATTTTTAACATACTTTTAACATACGTATTTGAAAATTAGTGTCCTGCAACACAGAAATTATACCTATTTTACTTTAAAACCGTATATAGTTACTCTGCTTAATGTAACAAATCATTAATAGTAAAATTTTATATTAAATAATGGTGTAAGCACTGCCACTGTAGATAGTCTAATGATATCTAGAACCGTAGTTGTTATAAGTTGTCATTTTAATAAATAACTTAAAAGGTCAAAAATATTTTTAATATCCCTATTACCTATACCTAGTGTTTATTGTTTTGTGATATTAACAAAATAATGTAGCTTGATATTTGATTTTAAATAATATTGAGGATATTTTACCTTTGAAACCACACTCTATCCAAAGATGCTTTATTTTATAAGCGTTAAAGCGACATCATCTTTTCATCTTCACAAAAATAAATATGATTATGTTGATACCTTTCGAAAAGACAGTAAATTATTAATACTTTTCAGAAGGATATGTTAAACATGTTAGAAAATAAATAATACTGACTTAATTTAATAAAAATATAAGTTATATGAAACAGTAAAAATGTCTCACTGAGAAGACGATGCGCAAAGTAGAACGTCTGTGATACTGATTAAAACGGTAACGTTTGTATTTTAACAAAATATTGGTTCATTTATCATGAATTATCATCATTACCGCAATCGAAATATTATATCCTTATCTAGACCTAGGTATCCCCAAAAGATTTCCAGTCTTTCGTATTTAGTTGGTTTCTGTAACCCGGTTGCGTAGTTGAGTTTCAATATATGTTTTCATGCCATTTTTGTTTATCCACACTAATATTATAAATGTGAAAGTATATTTGTTTATTTGTTTGTCCTTCTTTCACGACGAAACAGAGGGACGGATTGGCGGGATTTTTTGTGTGGAGATAGTTGAAGGGCTGGAGAGTAACATAGCCCAGGAGGAGGTATGATGTATAATATATAGTCTATCTGTTCCATACTAACCGGTACCTAGCGGACGAACCTGAGCGAAGCGTGGGGGAGCCACTACTCAGTAGTGCTTTTATATTTTCACTATCATTTGCCCGCAGCTTTACCAGCTACCAATTTTAATTATATAATTAAAATTATATAAAATCTAGACGCTGGTATTTAATTGGTTAACTATTATTCTTAGAGAAAGGCTACATTTAGGTTTGGATACCGAAATAAACCGGTTAAATCCAAAAACGAGCGTCGTACAAGTAACGCTCTTTTGTTTATTTCGTGTTTGTTTTATGTATATTTAGACGACACGTTCATAGAGTATGTAACCTTTTGCACGTTTGGCTCAGTTTGTAGTGACCCTATTTGCTGTGCCAACGGTCGCGGGTTCTAGTCCCGCTGGGGAGCATTCATTTGTGTGATGAGCACGAATGTTTGTACTCCAGTCACGGTTGTTTATATTCATAATATGTACGTATTTAAAGTTATATATGTGTAGTGTATCCACTATCTGGTATTCATAACACAAGCCTCGTAGCGTACCATGGAACTAGATGGTGCTGTATGTTAATGTCCCAACATATTTAATATTATATCTCGGAAAAATATACGGTTCCCGAGAGATAGATTTGTTTTTGTTTTTCTAGAGGCGAACCCGAGCGAAGCGAGGGTGAGTCGCTAGTACATACACACATATATTATACTAAGACAAACTAAAGAGATAAATAATGCGCTATACCTATAAATTAACGTATGTATATATATATATATATATATATATATACTCGTACATACGTAAATTTACACACATACATAAAAAAATCCACCAAATAATATATGTATTAAAATCATATACTAGAACATAATTGAGGAAATAATAATAATAATGATATATAATATTATTTATTATAATAAAATGTACTCCACCCATATAATATACCACACTACATAGCGTAAATAAAAAAAGTAGCTTCCCTGCTAAACTAAGTTTTCACTTATTGAAATGTATCCTTTTACTAAACAAGCAAAGGTACGCCACATATTAACGTACGAAAAGTCATTTTAACCGGTTAATTTTCGTTTATGGAACCTAAACTCGTCCAAAACCGTTCTCTGCACTTTAACCGGTTAAAGAACATAACCGCTACCTTAAACCGAAAAGCCATTCGGTTTGGACCAAAGCCGGTTCAAGAAATTAACTGGTTTAGAATATAACATATTTTAAGTATTACTAATACTTTCACATGGTAACTATGTAGTTCTTCTTTTAAAAAATGTGCCACATTCGATTATCGACTTTCAGTTGTTTTTTTTTTTTCAGCTTAGACAAGAAAAATGGATACTTCGAAAATTCGAGTGATTTTTGAAGACGAGTTCCGATGCGGAACTAACGCGGCAGAAACATCTCGCAATATCAATGTTGCGTTTGGAGAGGGGGCTGCTAATGAACGCACCGTGCGATTTTGGTTTAAACGCTTTCGTGATGGAATCTTTGATTTGAAGAACGAACCACGCGGAAGACCGCCCGCACAGGTGAATAACAATAAATTGAAGAGATGGTGGTAGCCGATCCGAGCCAAACTACCCAGGAATTAGCGGCATGGTTTAACGTTACCTTAACAACAATATTGACTCATTTGCGTCAAATCAATAAAATAAAAAAAATATGAAAATATATGCTTCATGATTTGACTGATCTGCAGAAAGAAACGCGTGTTGAAACTTTTTTTTTATGGGACTAAGGGAGCAAACGGACAGGAGGCTCACCTGATGGAAAGTGATCACCGCCGCCCATGGACATCTGCAACACCGCAGGGCTTGCAGATGCGTTGCCGGCCTTTAAGGAAGGAATACGCTCTCTTCTTGAAGGTGGCCAGGTCGTAGCGGTTCGGAAAGACCGCCGGCGATAGCTGGTTCCACAGAGTGGTTGTGGGGGGCAGAAAATGCCTTGAAAATCGCACTATTGTGGAACGCTGGACATCGAGGTGGTGTGGATGGTATTTACTATTTTGTCGCGATGTCCGATGATGAAATTCAGCAGCCGGGATCAGTCCGAACAATTCCTCGGAACACTCCCCGTGGTAAATGCGGTAGAAGATGCAGAGTGATCCAAAATCTCTACGCAGAGCTAAAGGATCGAGCCGATCAGAAAGATCTTGATCGTCGATAACTCGAGCCGCCCGACGTTGAATGCGGTCAAATGGAAGTAGCTGGTACTGGGGAGCTCCCGCCCAAAGATGAGAACAGTACTCCATGTGGGGCCGAATTTGCGCCTTATAAAGAATAAGACGCTGACGCGACGTGAAGTACTGTCTCGCCTTGCTGAGCACACCAAGCTTCTTTGAGGCCAGTTTGGCCTTACCTTCCAATTGACCACGGAACTGGACGTTGCTCGAGATGTCGACGCCAAGTATTCCGATACTGGCTGTGGCAGACAGAGGAGTGTCCTCAAATTGAGGAGCTACGATAAATGGCGACTTTTTAGCGGTTAACGCGCAAACTTGTGTCTTTTTGGGGTTGAATTGGTTGCCTTGTGAACCCCCATAACTTGCGTTCACTTTGTCGTGGTGGGGGGGCTCAGTAGTAGTAGCGAAGCTAAGAAACGCACAGGGAGGTTGCCCACTTCGGTGGGCGGTGGGAGGTGGCCCTCTTCGGGGGGCGGTGTACCATGCGGGTTGCTCCTGGTACTTCTCTGATAGCAGAGTGGACCTTGGAGCAACCCCATGGTTGTGGTGGTCTGCTTTGGCAGACCTGCCGTCGGGGCGTCGTAGTTGAATGCGTAAGCGATCCTGCGACGCCCCATTAAGACGGGGGAAGGTTTTGTTGGGTTTTAGTGGGTAGTACTGGCTGTATTACGCCGGTGAGTCCCACACGTCGTGCGTTAATGCATTTCCCAACGTTAAAAAAAAAAAAAGGTTGCCTTGTGAACTTATGTTATGTTGTTGTCCGAACTTGTGTTGCCTTGTTGAATCGATACAGAAATGAAGGAATATTGGATCGAATTGTGATATGTGATGAAAAGTGGATTCTTTACGATAACCGTAAGCGAAAAATGCAATGGCTGACCCCAGGTCTAACGCCGCAACAGTGTGCTAAAGCAAAGCTTACCAATAAAAAGGTAATGGTAACTGTTTGGTGGTCTCAGCATGGTTATTCATTCACTATAGCTTTCTCCGATCTGGTCAAGCAATAACGGCAGATATCTACTGTGCCGAACTCCGAACAATGATAGCAAAACTAGCAGTGAAACAGCCCCGACTCATGAATCGATCTTCACCATTATTGCTCCATGATAACGCGAGACCTCATACAGCACGAGAAACCGAAAGTTTTCTTCTCAGGAGGCAGTACAAAATGCTTTCATATAGTTTATCGAATCTAGATCACCAGAGTTCTATCGCAAAAGCATAAATGAGATGACCTTCCTATTAGATGTCAACAATGTATAGATAATAACGGTGATTCTTTTGATTAAATAAAAAAAACGAATTTCAATTTTTCTGTACAAATCGGCATTTTCATACTTTAACCCCTATTGTTAAATTACATTATGT